TCATTCTCTCTACCTCTTCCTTGTCTCTTCCTGGCCCCCTAGGCCTGTCTGTCCCTTTTCCTTGGTTGGGTTCACGGGCACATCTTTGCCCCTTCCTTAGCCTTGCTTTCCCCATATGTAAAGTGGAGGAGTCAGTTTAGAACCCTTGTTGTCATTGGCCTCACCTAGACAATAGCAGTGCAAGGCTGGTGTTGAGGTTGTGGTGCTATGGGTGGGGCTTCAGGTCTAGGCCTCGCTTTGTTGCTCTGTGACCTTGGACAGGTCATCTTAGTTTGTCTTCTTTCCAGTTGACAATTAACATCCATAAAGCTTGAGTGAGAATGGAAGCGGGTATGTATGGTACAGATACGAAGCTAACTATGGTGGTAACAAGGTGTGACTTTTTACTCTGTCAAATCTCCACCTGATTTAGTTTCTTTGTACTGGTTTTTTCTCCCCAGATTTTCTTTTTTGACTTGGGGGATTGAATCCAGGGCTTTACTCATGGATGTTTTTGCATATGCTTTGTCACAGAGCAGTACTCCAAGCCCTTATCCCACATTTTGTTTGGTAGAGCACTTCCTTCCAGTGATACCTCAGACAACTCCCAGTGTGGCTCCTCCAAATGTTAGGACACTGTTGGTCCCATCTTCACATGGAAGAGTCAGGAAGGAGTCTTTGGAGGGGCTAGATTGGAGAGAACAGGGATTAAGTGCTTCGGGTTGGTCAGTAAGCCAGGGGTCCAGAGTAGAGGTAGAGTGACCTGTGATCAGGGTACAGGAAAATTCCCTGAAGAGGGGCTTGCTGCCTGCTCAAAAAGGGACCCAAGATGGGTATAGTGGCATGTACCTATAATCCTAGCACTCTGGGAGACTGAGGCAGGAGGATTACAGTTCAGGCCCAGGTTGGGCAACTTAGTCAGTGAGACACTGCCTCAAAATAAAAAAATAGAAAAGGGCTGAAGGCCCTAAGTTCAACACCTGGTACTGGAAAAAGTGGAGGGGGGCTTATGGGAGAGGAAGGAGAGGAGTAGAAAGAAAGGGGCCCAAGTTTGTATCTATTTCTGTCTAACTCTAAAATCCTCATTCTTTCTCTTTAGCTAATAGATTTCCCAAAGGGAAAATGGAATGAACCAAAACTTTAAAAAATAGTTTCCTTTCCCTATTGCAAAATCCATTCATGTCAGTTAGGGAAAATTTGGAAGACAGAGAAAAACATAAAGGTACTGAGGATGTAGCTCAGTGGTAGAGCACCTGCCTAGCATGTATGAGGCCCTAGATTTATTTTGTTTTGTTTTGTTTTTTGTTTTTTGAGACAGGGTCTCATTGTATAGTTGAGACTGACCTGAAACTCACTATGTAGCCCAGGCTGGTCTCTAACTCACAGTGATCCTCCTGCCTCAGCCTCCTGAGTGCTGGGATTACAGGCATGTGCTGTTATGCCCAGCTGAGGCCCTAGATTTAATCCCTAGCAAAAAATAAGTAAAAGAAAAATTTAAATGAAGAAAAAATTAAAAGTAGCTACAGTTATACTATCGAGGCATATCTATGGTTACGTTTTTTTTTTTTTTTTTTTTTTTTTTTTTTTTTTTTTCTAGCCCTTGTGCTTGTGAGGCAGGTGCCGGAACCACTGAGCTAAATCCCTGGCCCCTATGGTTAAATTTTGATGTGTATCATTTCAGCTTTATTTTTTAGTTTGGTTTCTAAAATTTGGGCACACTTTGTTTTTTGAGATAGTTTTTTTTTGTTTGTTTGTTTTGTTTTTTCATACCAGGGATTGAAATCAGGGCCTTGCACTTGTGAGGCAGGCAGTGGCACCACTGAGCTAAATCCTGGCCCAATTGAGATAGGGTCTTGCTATGTAGTTTAGGTTAGCCTTGTACTCACTATGTAACCCAGGCTGGCCTTAAACTTGCAGTAATCCTCTTCCCTCAGCCTCCTGAGTGCTGGAATTCCAGGTGTGCACCACCACACCTGGCTGGGCACACTGTTTTTTGTTTTGTTTTGTTTTTTGCTTGCTTCTGTTGTGAACTGTCTCCTGCTTGTGTCAGGAAATAATTTTCCGTGAGGTTTTACAGCTGCCTGGTATTCTATCACATGTATCATCATCGACTTGGCTGCTTCCTGGTCCTGGGTGTTACAGTTTCTCTCTTTCTCTGTTATAGATAGGGTGCTGATGAGTGTTGTTTTGCACATCTCTGAGTATTTCCTCTGGAAAATTCTGCAAGCAGTCCAGCTGGGCCACAGTGGGCAGGTACAATCAGAAAGCCCTGAGAGGTGTGCCCTCCCCCAGCAGAGCATGGATTGAGTTTATCATACGGTAACATTGGCCTGGTCCCATTGGAAGGCTAAAAGCTCCATTCTGCCTTTCCCAATCTGCTTCCCACAGGGAGGGGCACACTTTAGCCCCTGTAACCGAGCAGGAATCTGTGTGCCTCCCAAAAAGGCCTACAGCATGCACCCTTGCACTTGCTGGACCATTAGTCACTGCTCAGCAGCCACCCCAACTTATGACCCTTGACACCACTAAGTTTCCAAGGATGGCATCTGTGCCAGAGGGACAGTGTTGTTTGCTGGGCGCTGTATAAACAACAGGAATTCCTCAGGCAGGGGCTGCTGGGCACTGAGCCTTTGAGTGGAAAGGCAGGCATCCATCATGAGCGCCAGCAGGCAGACAGGAGCCCAGCTTCAGTGGCTGTTGATAAGCCTGTGGCAGCTGTAGGCTGACACAGCTGGTCTAGTATCTGGCTTTTTTGTTTGTTTAGTGTTAGGGATTGAACCCAGGGCCTCACATGCTTAGCACAAGCTCTACCACTGAGTTACGGCCTCACTGCTGAGCTGCATCCCAGCCCCTGATGTCCATTTATCTAATTCCATCCAGTCTCATCCTATGCTGTCTGTGTTGCCCGCTGTCTCTGTATGAGTGATAGAAGACCAGTGTCCCTGACTCGAGCTCTGTCCCTGAGCCACAGGCTCTGACAGGTGCTGCTAGTGGTGAGAGCAGATGGGTGACCTGTACTGTGGGACTCTGAGCCTCCCTGTGGGCTGTGGGTGATGACTGCTGGGTGCCACACACGGCAGGAGTGGCCAAGAGGTCTAAGGAGCACTTCTCCCTGGTCACATGTTGTGGCCTACAGCCAGTCATTTCCTGGCTTCCATGTTCTTATATATAAAATAGGCCCCTGAGGACTATGGGGCCCCTGAAACAGATGCTGAAGATTGGGTGGCCTTTGGGGGAAGGGCTTCTGTCAGAGAGGCTGGAGCCATCAGCTAGGGGTTCAGGCCGGCTGGAGTGACTCCCAGGGAAACAGGTGCTGGGCCAACAAGGATCAGAGGTGGTGAGGCCCACATGGTCCTGGGTCAAATGGTAAGTGAATATTCCTCTCCCTTTACCCTTCCTTCCTGCTACAGGTTGGCTTCCTGAAGATTCTGCACAAGTATGAGATTACCTTCACTCTGCCCCCAGTGCACAGGCTGAGCAAGGACATCCGGGAGGCACCAGTCCCCAGCCTGCACCTCAAGCTCCTCAGTGTTGTGCCCATTCCTGAAGGTGCGTGCCTGCCCATCTGGGGTGCTGGTGACTGGCCCTCCTCCGGCGGGTCCAGGGAGAAGGCGGGATGGTCCTATTCAGGGATGGCACCTCTTTATGGGTTTGCAGTGTGGCAGCTTGGCTGTTGCATGCCCAGCCTCCTATCCTGGACAGAAGTCTGTGAACTCTCTGCAGGCCTACACCTGCACATCGCCTGATGGTTCCCTCAGCAGAGGACACTAAGACAGGAGTCACAGAGGAACTCCCTTCTCCTCCCCAAGAAAGCCTAGTGTCCTCACTGACAGGAGCTTTGGGGCCCCTGGCCTTCAGGCTGCTTCTGCCTACCCAGCTGGCTGCAAGCCCTGCCCTGCCCCCACCAGGCAGAGCCTGTGGTGCCACTTTTGAGGCAGCCCCAGCTTCAGTTTCATGTTGCCACATCACCCCTTATGATTTTCGCTGGACTCAGCAAGACCCCAGGCTTTGCCTTGCCTCTTGATTTCATGTTGACATCACCCCTTATGATTTTCGCTGGACTCAGCAAGACCCCAGGCTTTGCCTTGCCTCTTGCCACTGGACCCACTCAAAGCCTGTCCTACTTGCCCCACTTATTCCTCTCACCCTTCTCCCCGCCTCCTTGGTGCGGAGGGAGCTGGCCGTTTTCTCGGAAGCTTCGCCTTGGGAGCCATGCTCGGTTGGCCCAGAGTCTGAGGCATGGTCAGCTCAGTGAAGACAGGGAGGTTTGCTCAGCCTTGTGGGATGAGTCTCTTGATTTCCTTTCTTTAGGAGACGCCACACATTTGCCGTGGGTAGGGACACATGAGTGCTGGAGGTGGGGGTTGCTGATGGTCTGTGGTCCCTGTTCCTGGCAGGTTACAGTGTCAAGTGCGAGTACTCTGCGCACAAGGAAGGAGTCCTCAAGGAGGACATGCTGCTGGCCTGTGAGGGTGGCACAGGTGCTTATGTGCGCGTGATGGTGCAGGCGCGAGTCATGGGTGAGTGAAAGGGTGTGGGCCTGGCTGGAGGAGGGATGCTTGCCCAGCCGTGGTCCTGACCTACTTGTCCAGTTGTCCTGTTCCAAGCCAGTCCCTGGGGGAGTCCTCATGGAGTGTCCTGCGTGGGCAGGACCAGCGCGCGTGAGCATACCGACTTGCATGCCCCCCTTGCAGACCGGCACCACGGCACCCCCATGCTGCTGGATGGCGTCAAGTGCGTGGGCGCTGAGCTGGAGTACGACTCAGAGCACAGTGACTGGCATGGCTTCGACTGAGCCCCTTGGCCACCTTGGCCCTCAGCCTTAACCCTGCCTCGTCTCCGACTTGCTGCGTGATGGTGTGGCTTCCTCACCCTTCCTGGGTGTGTGGGTGGGTGGAGTGTCCACGGCCTCCAAGACCTGGCTGCACACGTGCCCACACCTCTCACCTCTGCCTTCATTTGTGCCACCACCCTGCCTCTCCTGTGACTTCCTCTCTCCCACTCCCTCCTCTCTGTGTGCCTCAGTCTCCTGCCAGAAGAAATGGGTTGAGGCTCCAAGGAGGCTGTCTGAGGGGAGTATGAGGGCCTGGGGTGGGTCCTACCTCCTGTCCACCCCAGGCTGCAGGGGCTTCAGCCAGTGTCTGGGAGAGGACGGAGTGGCTTGTAACGCCCATGCCCCATTACTGCTGCTGCTCTGCCTCAGCCGCCTCTCACTCTTCCCCCTGCTGACTTTGTGAGGAGGAGGGAGATGCAGCTCCCAGTCCCTGCCCTTCAGGTCTGTGATACTGGGTTTTTAAACGACTGGTCGGGATAGAAGCCTAAAGAAATAAAACTTCCAGTGGCTACCAGAGGCCAGTAGGTATTTTCTATGGGGTCCTGAAACCACCTAATCCTTAGCAGATGGGCTACGGAAGGACTTGGGTAACTTGTTCTTTCAGGAGGCAAGGTGCATAGTGTTGTAGCACCTAGCCCAGAATTGGTGTGCACAGACGTGACACTGCACGCTTGGGACTAGGCGCTGCAATGATTAGTTTGGATGGAAGAGAGGCCTCCTGCCTGGCCAGGGAGTGTCAAGGAGTGGGGGGAGTCGTTTGGGATCCTTGACAGGGAGGTAGCATCGCCCCCTCCTGGCTGGTTCCCAGCTCTGTGCACAGCTGAACATTTTCTCCTTTGTCTAGCTCCATTCCTAGACACTGCTCTCATTATTGAGGGCTCCACTTGTGAGTGCCAGCCGGCCATGGCTTCCCCTTGAGCATAAATACTTTATTTTCACCTTAGGATGGGTTCTTAGGCAGGTGGGGCTGACACATACCTGACATTTCACATTTGGAGAAACTCAACCTCACAGGTGGTTAGGGGCTGTCCTAGGGGCTGTGACCATCCCCCCAGTCCTCCCTCTGCCTTGCCTATTCTCCACTGCTCTTCAGGCCCCCCCACATGCCACCCACAAATCCCCTCAAAACCTCCTTCATCAAGATAACATACCATCCCCATCAGTCGATCACTGCCCCTTCTGCAGTTAACAGTCATCCTCGGGTTGCCAGCACCACATCCACAAAGGTGCTATGACCCTTGTTCCTCTGGTGTCCACTTGTCATTTCCCTGCAACGTGCAGATGCGCTGCCTGGCTTCCTATGACAGAAGCCCATCAATCTGAGCTCTGGCCTTCAAGTCCAGGCCCCACACAACCTCTGCCCTGAAGCCTGCCTCGCTTGGCCTCGCCTTACAACCTTTAGTTCAAAGGCTGCATTCTGCCTTTGGCGTCGCATGCCCTCCACCAGGCTGAGTGCACCGTCTTGCAGACTTACTGGAAGTCTCCCTTACCCACTGGTTCTTTGTGGAGGCCCTTCCAGTCAGTGGACCAAAGCCCAATCCCAAACCGATTTTCCATGAGTCCCCACCCACCCTCCACTGGCTGGAGGGCTTAAAAAGAGCCCTGACATTGGAACTAGCACGGCCACATCAGGCTTCCCAGGTGCCCAAGGAGGGCGGGGCCGAGCCGAAGGGGGTTGGCATTGCTCTGGCGACCTCAGTTGGAAAGAAAGTCAATTGCAGCGCGCACAGAACGATTGGTGCTGACGTCGACGGCAGTGACCTTAATCTCAGTATCGCCAAACTGCATGGCGGCGCGGATCTCGCGGCGGCCGGGGGGCGCGCCGGTGCTG